AGCTTTTTCTAACTTGGTGATTTATTGTTTATGAAATTAATTGTTGTTTAATATGAATTTAATGTTATTTTTTATGAAAACTTATGTATTGAATTTTTTTTAACAGTAAATATTTTAAACGAAAATCCGTATTTTATTGTTGTAGTAGTGTATCGACTTTTTTTTCGTTAATGATATGTTGTTCCAAAAATTTTTGAATTTTCATTTTCGATCCCACAATACGAAACGTCTGGGTCCGCCCCTGCTAAAAACCTTGATGATTTTGACAATCGAGATGAAGCCGGCCTGAACAAAGCTACTGGATTCAACATTTCCATTGCTGAAAAATAAAATTTAGTGTTGAGACTAGCAAACAAACTTGGAGAAGCATTGAGTTATATTGTTTTTGTTTTTCTACTCAAGTATCTAAACTACAGGGTTCCACATGACTAATCAAAATCAGCAAGAAAGCATAAAATCATCGACCATGATATCATGGATGAAATTGGTAAAACATTCAAAACGAGAGATGACAAAAAATAGAGAATCCATTTACAAGAAAAGAATGCCATACTTGATGAAGTTCTTTCCCACCCCTTAAGCTGTTGGATTTATAAAATGATTCTCTTGCTCGTTAGACTTAGACAGTCAACATTTTTATGTATACGCAGCAGCAAAAAAAGAATGCAGGAGCTATGACAAAGTGCACACAGTCTGCATTTTAATTCAATTAAGTATCATATTTAAACCTGTGAGATTATTTGATGTTGTTGAGTACTTGGTCCAGCGGGACTGGAAAATTGATGAAATGTCAGTGGCTGAATTATGTGCAATCATGAACTGATCTTGAAGATCCTTAAAAACCTCTTCCATGCTTGTTAGCCTTTGATTTACGGAAACCGTATATCCAGGAGTTTCCTCTTTTGATTCACAATCAGTAACTGAGGTTTCTTTACCACAAATTTGACACCTTTTTCTACTTCTACACTTTGAACACTTTTACTTTCATTTGGTTGTAATCCTTGGTTTGTTTGCCCTGTTCCAGGTCCACTGTTTGTTCCATCCTCAATTTTCCTATTGTTACTATCATCAACATCTTCCACAGCAACTTCTATGTTGGAGTTCTCATCAGGCTTAACCCTCTCTTCTTTCATTTTTATACTTTCATCACCTTCTTCTTTTTCTTTTTTCTCTTCCGATTCAGGTATGCTTTCCTCTTCTCGAACGTTCCTTACTCAAGCATTCTCATCATTCAAAGTAGTCTCATCAAGACTGCTGGTGGTATAGCCATAGTAATCTAATGAAGAAAAGGGATTCCAGAAGAAATCCCATTGAGATGTTTGAGCTGAAATTGGAGAACAATTAGTTCTATCATTTGGGGATCCATGGAAAATTGAAGAGCTCACAGAAAATGAATGCGTTTCCAAAAAGCTGTCCATTTCGAAATGATGCACAGGGGCGTAAGCTTCAATCCTGACAGTTTCTGGTGATTGAGGTGGTCTCATCTCAACAGTAATAGAAGGATTTCCACCAGACTTGAGGTAGTTTATTTTACAACATGAGTTTGGTTCAGATTTAAATGGTGTCGCTGAGAAGGATCTCAGTGATATGCAGATTAAAGCAGTGAAATTTAGTAGTTTAACCCAACTAACACCTAGAGGGGAATGAATATGTGTTTATGCAGAATTAAAATTAACAATTAATAAGCAACAAGTCACTTTTAATTGTTTCTAGATGGTTGGTCAATCAATTCAATTTTCCTATGGTTTGAATGTAGCAATTATATAGAAAGCAGTAAATAACGCAAAATCTGATGACGGAGAAAGCCCGTAACTGGGTAAAAACTCCGAGCCCAAGCCAGTAACAATCCACTATAAACGAATCAACTTCTTGGCATTCTTGGTATTATCTTTTTCCTTACTGTCGTTGGCTTCTCACTTGAACACCAGTGACACCAATGACACCCCTTACTGTTGTTGAAGAGATAATTCTATTGAACGATGTCCTGCTTTTCCACAATTATAACAGATGCCTTTATACTTCTTGTCATTCTTGATATTATCTCTTCTTGGTGAATTACCGGAGATCTTACTCTTCTTGTGACAACCTTCAAACCAGTTTCAACAAAATTTGCTCAAAGTTGAACAATAGATTTTCTTTCAGTGTTTCTATTGTCTTCATCAATCCTCAAATGGACTAACATTTCCTCCAAGTATGAGGAAGTTTCTCAATGATGGCTACAACTTGAAAGGATTCACTCAATTCCATCTTTTCAACATGTATGTCATGAAGTAGAATTTGAAATTCTTGTGCTTGACTTCATGGTTTTGGAGTCTACCATTTTGTAGTCCAAAACCTTGTCGACAATGAACTTTTTATTTCCGGTAACCTCGGTCTTGTACTTCTTCTCCAATGAATCTCATAGATTATTGGTCGAGTCCATTGATATTGAACGATACACTCCATAAAGTGTATTGTCCAAACCATTTAGGATGTAATTTTTGTAAAAGAAATCCTAGTGCTTCCATGCATCCAACGCAATAATCGATTCCCGATTATTTTTCCCCTTTTTGCAGCACGAGTGATCTTTTTAAGAACTTTGCCAAATTCAAAGTAGTAAAATAGAGCAACATATTTCATTGCCATCTTTTAAAATTCACACCTCCAAAATTTTTCGATTTTTCCCCATGTGGGATATGAGAGTTTGGTATAAGTATAGTCAAAGGCTTCTCCACATGGTTCGTACCATTTATTCTTTGAATCGAAGTAATCTCAACATTACTCATTTATATTACAAACAGAAGTTCAATGTACAAAATGAAATAAAGGAATAGCACTAGAATTCTTATTCCAAAGATGAAGAGAAGTGATTTTTCAATAAACAACCACAAAATTTGTCTTAAGGTTGTTGGTGTGTTAAATGACAAATGGTTATTTGTTTAAATGACAAAGTAATGGTTAAGTTTAATTCATAGGAGCGTAATTAAATTCTATGTAGACTATAAGAAAAAAGAAAGTGAAGGAAAGGAAATTCGAGGCAAGTGATTAACACTTTCTCCTAAAAAAAAAAATTGCCCCACAATGGCACTAACGGATTACGGCACTTGTCTTCCAAGATACAACAGATACAGCTTATGGTAGAAACACTTCAAGTTACAAGTAACAGCTAACTCGAACGAATTTTTTTCTCTATATAAGAAAATAATTTTGGAATGATTTTTATAAAATCTTGCAAGAGATTTTGATGTAATGCTCAATTCAAATGATATGGAATTCATAACGGACATTAAAAGGTCCCTATTTATAGAAGAAAAGATGATGTGAGTGAAGAGTCTCGTCCCAAAACTTAGCAACCTTTATGAAAGGAAGCATCTCTTGATGTCGATGATCTCTTGCTCGAGTACCAGTGACGCGTGTTCAACATAAACGTTTTTGCCCGTCTGTCGCTCGAGCGCTAGGCGAACAATGAAGTTAGGCAAATTTTCAGCCAGTTTTTCAATCTTTTCTTTCCAACTTTGGATCGTAATTTTTCATTCATTCAGAATTGATTTTGAGATTTCAAATATACTACAACAATCTACTCGACGATTAGAACAAGTTAATCAATTTATATTTATAATTTGATTATTAAATCAATTCCAAATACTTGGTCAAAAAATTGACAAAAAGTTACATTTCAAGTTTTATATTTAACCAAAATTTTCAATCTTTAAATCAAATTCCAACAGTAACATCACAATATTCTTGTAAAATACTGATATTTATACATGTACTCGTTTGTTTTTATTTCTGTTGCTTTCATTGCGTGCATTTTGTAGGAACTCTTCCCCTATACTTTTGCCACAAAAGTTAAATTGAGAAATGTAAGATGATATATGACCTTTATGATAGAAGATAACACAGTAATACTAACCAAATTTTCTTAATATAACAAACGTACACTGCCCAAAGTTGTCAAATAATAACCAAAATGACGAGCATAAGCAAGTTCCTCCACTCGATATTTGCCACAAGATGCACCCAAAAGAATTTTGTAAAAATTAAACAAAAAGGGTCATGCATGATTTACACGATCTTTATATGAAATTTATGTTTTCTTAATATTAACTTCTGATGACTTTGGATATATTTTTAAATCTTCAGCGGGGCTTTTATGTTTCTGTATAATCCAAGCAATGTAGTCTACAATGTACAACTTATCTAGTGTATCATTTATATTGAATTATCTCTTCTTCAATTCAAATGTAATATTATCATATATGCCATTTTCAGACACACAAAAATAAAAATAAAAAATAAAAAATTAATTGATTAACTATAACTTTAATTCTAATATAACCCAAACAACAAGAAAGAAAATAATACAGCATGTAACCCTATAAGTCAAAAATAGTACATCTGATTACCAAATTACATAGCATGTAACACTTTTAATACCATATAATAAAAAAATAGAAATCATAAGACGACATATAGGGCGTGTTCGGTAGAGATTAAAATCGAATTAAAATTAAAAAACTAATCGTTATTGTTGACTTTTATTAGACGAGTGAGACCGAATAACGACTATATTTTCAATTTTAATTTGATTTTAAGATTTACCAAACATGCTCATAATAAGTCTTTGTGTTAAATTTTCATATTAAATCCTTTGGTGTTGAAATAATAACTCTCTTCCTACAAAAAATTAAATGAAAACAAATGAATAATGTCACAAAAGATAAAATATTACACGATATGTAACCTTTTTTTAGAAATGACAAAAAGAAAAGAAAATTTTAACTCATGTAACCTCAGCACAAATAATTAGCATATAATTCAACAAAACACAACAAAATGGAAAGGATTTTCGGAAGTATTTTTGCTTCAATACGCTCCTTCAATATAGCTCCGCTAAGTTCCCTTAATCAAGTCACTGCCTATGAGTTGGCGGTGTTAAACAATTCAAAAAAATAAAGAAAAAGAAGAGGATGATAGGGTTTTATTGATTCTGCATAATATAATTGAATACAAAAAGATGATTTAATGTAGAAACAAATAGACTATATATATGCTAAATAAAGAAAATTGAAAAGACCATTCTTCCCTTAATAAAGAATAAAACAAAATCACCCTATATTTCTTAGCATCTCCCCTCAAACTCATGGTGCGGCAGCTACAACCATCGAGAGTTTGCCAACTAGAAAACGAAAACGGGAAATAGAATGCGATTTGGTAAAGAAATCTGCTTGCTGCAAAGAAGAAGAAATAAAGGGCAAAGTAATTGTGTCGTGCTTGAGATGATGACGAGTAAAGTGATAATCAGTCTCAATGTACTTAGTTTTTTCATGAAAAATCGAGTTGTGAACAATCTGAATAGAGCTCTGGTTATCACAATACATAAGAGTGGGATGAGAAAAACTTCCATATTTACAAGTAACCAACGTAACCAAAAAATCTCTTTGGTAGTAGATGTCATAGCACGATATTCTGCTTCGGTTGAACATTGAGAAACAATAGATTGTTTCTTACTCTTCCAAGAAATAAGAGAATCACCCAAAAAGATACAAAAATCAGTAACAGACTTGCGATCTGTGGGATCACTGCCATGATCAGCATCAGAGTATGCACACAACTCCAAGGAAGATGTGGATGGAAGTAAAAGACTCTAAAAGACTTTACCCCGAAGATACCGCAAAATACGAAGAACAGCTGCTCCATAAACTGTAGTAGGAGAAGTAATAAACTGACTAACAACATGAACATCATATACAATATCTGGACGAGTAATAGTGAGATATACCAAGCTCCCAAAAATAGTACGGTATAAAATAGGATCTGATAAAGGTAAACTATCAGAAGAAG